GGTAAAATAAGGCCAGAGGTTCAGCGGGGACTTCACAAGAAACTCAAGGAGAGATGAGGAGCACTGCATTGTGTGATACCTCTTGACTGAGAACAAATAGCTTCTGTGCACTGACTTACGACGTTTGATGTGCTAACATAATAAACTATGATATACCCAAAATTGCTGGTTCTTACACCTCACACTTATGTTTCTCTTCTAAAAGACATATTTCCTCGTAGGTTTATGGGCATTGATATGACTGGTGTACTGCAGTGTTAGATAAAGTGCTGGTACAGGCCTCTAATATGAAGGATATGGTGTCTGAGTAATCCACATGCTCGGCAGATAGACCACTCACCTTGCATTGACCCAACCATCTTTTATTAACACATTAATCCAATGACTGTGTACTTTTCTTGGAGTGGCCAAGATATTACTCTACCATAAAGTGAAATTTTAGGCTCGACAGGAAAAGCGTATTTGCTCTGGCCCACCGTTCAAACATGGTGTAAAGTCACATTTTGACATATTTCATGGAAACATATGGAATCTTTGTGCCAGGGTCAATAACACCTCTAAAAGCTCTTCATGTGACTCCTGCTGGGTGACATTCATAACATTAGCAGACTGGGGTTCCTGTTAGGTGATAGATCGCTTGGCAAGAAAACTGAGCCACGTTACATATTGCTAAGTTTTAGAGCCACTGGAATTCAGTCTTGTCAGAAGCTTCCTCACAACTACAACGCCAGATGATAGTATTAAGAGCAACTAACTAGCTGGTAGGATGGAAAACCAGCTGTTGGTTGCCTAGAAACCACCAGAAATACTGTTATTAAGGAAAAACCTGCTTAAAATGTTAAATCAGGCATTTTCCAAACCAAAGCACAAAGTGCATCACTTTCTGCACATGTCATAGTCCTGGAAGAAGCTGACCTCATATTTTGCCCGCACCGATGGCGTCAAGAGCCACAGAGTGGTTTCCTCAGCCACCGAACGAAAAAAAACAAAAAACAAAGCTACTCACCACACAGCCTTTCAGACGATTCTGCTCCTCCTTCACCTCCTTTCCCATGATCCTTTGTGTCTCTGTTCCCACATTGCCCTGGGGTTCACATGCCGGTGTCAGGGGGTCAGCGTCTTCCCTGGTGAAAGTGGAACCAGTGGGAGAGAGCATGGTCCTGTCGCTCCTGCAGGACGAGCAGAGCAGGGGTTTTACGGCGGCGCTGACAGCAGCATGATAAATTCCAATTATGGCTCTGAGGTTTCCTTCCAGTGTTTGTCTTATTTGGTTGAAATAGCTGATAAGACAGATGAGGTGATGTAATAGTTAGATCTAAAGATAGCCCGCTGACATGAGAAGCTGCAGCCTGAGAAATGTTTGGAGAACAGGAATGTTGGCGATGGATGGATTAAAACTGCAGAAGGCCCTCTGGCCCACCCTTTCTGGACAGAGTATAAATATATAATTTTGGTCTGACATTTTCAAGTGGTCTCTGTATGGGTGTATGTTACCTGATCCAGAGATATATATATGTATATTTTATAAATTTGGGTTTCGCCTACAAAACCGCAGTGACTCTGTGCAAAGCTTTATAATGTATGGGTTGATGATTGCATAAAATGCCATTTTAAAGCTCAGACACTGCCTCAGTGTAAAAGAGAATTAAAATCGTCATAAATCTTTTATACCACATTGCTGCAAAAATGTAAATACATATACTAATATGAACATGGAAAATATTCAGTCCTTTATGCCCAGGCAGAGTGGAGGGATGATCAATGTTATCCATTGGCCAATTCAATGCTTTGTACAAAAATAAAACTGTTGAATCTTAGTCCCCAGAAGACAGACCCTAATGAATTTGATAAAAACAATAGTACATTTTAGTCATTCAGCACATCTCAAGAAATAATTTTATGATTTCCAATTCCACTTCCACCTTCACCTATTTTTTTGTTTTGTTTTATACAGCATTTGAAATTTACTGTTGAGACGATGTTCCTGTGCATTTTGGACACTATTTCAAAGAATACCACGTTTTTACTGTACATGCTGTATGACTGTAACCACAGAGTGTATATAAAATGTGGATGAAGCTTCCGGGCCTGGATGCAGAAGTGCTTATAAGTTAAATACCACAGAGGGCCTGCAGGGGCTGGCTCCAAAAAAAATATCTGGCTGCGTAGACTGCCATTCAAAAAATGTCACCTCATTAAAAACTAACTCCTTTGTATCAATGTTCTGGGTCCATCTGTCATAAATGTTCTTATTAATCAGACGTCAGCAGGTTTGGAGATCTTTCTGATGTCACCAGACGTCAGGGATGTGTCAGTAATTCAGTATTGACCCCAGTGCACAAACTTTAGTTCCCACAACTTTTAAATGTGGCTGCAGTGGTTAAGCAAATATTGCTTCTGATAGTATAATAATACATCTGAATTCTCATGGTAGCCTGTATTAACAATAAATCTGTTTTATAAATGCTGTAAAGATCTTATAAATATGTTTTATCACAGATTTAGCAAATTGTTCAAAGAGAATGCAGGATTTCAGTTAGACAAGAACAAACCATGTTGCCAATTTAACTCCATCAGCCAGGACATTATTCACCATGTACAATAATCAAACATATGTCAAATTTCAAAGCAGTGCAGAAAACTGAAAACTATAAACCAAAAAGTGTGTGGTGAGGGATGACGTGTGTGGCAGGCGGTCTCCAGACGACCCAGACAGAGCGCTCCTTCACTTTGCTTATAATTATTCAAGGCTTCAATCCCAAATCAAACACGCCTAATCAAGAGAAAGAGAGAACGCTCATTTTCTGTTGGAAAACTTCTCCCATGTTCTGCCAGTATAGACTTTTAATGTCTGGTACCAGAAGAGTAATAACAGCAAAATACGGTTCCAGCTCGGTGGAAATCTGTAGAGAACCAATTACTGAGAGAAATGCCTCATGTATTCACAGGGCCACCAAAGTTGTTGGATCCTTGGCCTGCTCTCTTACCTGAAGACTTTATGAAGAAGTGCCCAGCAGTCCTTCACCTCACTCTGCTTCTGCGTGACTCCGGTGGCCAGGGCAGGATGCAGATTGGACAGCTGGGACACGCTCACGTCCAGCATCTACCACACACAGGCCTTTTGGTTAGTTAGAGAAGGCTTCTGCAACACGAACGCTCAGGGTTTGACCAAGTGGTGCTGCTTCAAGTGAAAAGATGTTTCCTACCATGATCTGACTGGCAATGTCCCGGATCTCTCTGTCGCCAAAGCCGTCACACTCTTTGGATGCAGATAGGCTTTTCATCTGGAAGAAAAGATACGTAACAGAATATGTGAAAAATAAGATACATTAACTCATTACAGCAGCAGATAATCAGAGGGAGGTAGGCAAGAGAACATGTGAAAGTATACAATAGAATAAAATAAGAATATAAAAAAGGAAATGACATAAAAATACAGACAATATGTAAATCATATACACCTTTCACTACAGACAGATGGGATTTGTAGAG